CACCTTCTCGTATTTCTAAGGAAGGGAGATGTGGTAAAAAGTCATTTCCAACGAAGAAACAGAGGAAAACCTGAAAATTATGTCTATGTAAATAGAAAGTGAACGAAATAATTACTACTAACAGAACTTCGCAAACATACCCAGTCATCAATGACGCGTTCAAAGTCGTATTTGAAGGGAAGGTTTTCCATAGCCATTTCTCTTTCCAAATATTCTCGCAAGACAGGTATACGCAGAAATATAAAGTTTTTCTCTTTTGAAATGGGATCAGCATGCTCGGGGCCTTTCTCTTCGTTCTCAAGTCTGAAAAAGCTTACTACAGACATCAGATTTCTAACGACAATTTGCTACTCTTTCCCATACAAATTTTTTATGAACAAAATAACCACTTCCTTTACGACTTCGTCCTTCCATGACGAATTGGAACAACAGGAGAAATCTATCTTTTCTTCCTACAGAATTGGTTACAATCAACAAAAAATGAGGGACTCACCCTCTGCACTCTTTCAACTCGTGTCCATATTGACCACAAAGATCGCAGGGACGTTGTTGGTTTGGGATAAACTCCTCACTGAAAGAAGAATTCCGAAGACATAAATGAATGAGCTTGACTAGTGAATGTATTACCGTATAATGTTAAAGTTCGCCTCGTGGGTAGCTAAGCCTAACATGATGAGATCAGCATCCGCGCCACAAAGACAATGCACCGTATCTGGATTGTGGGCAGGATTTGAACGCTGTCTACGAATGAAATCCATGATCTTATGCTCTCCTTCCCCAGGAGCATTGGCGTCAGATAGAATGACCTAAACATAGCTCGTTCCCACGTTGTCGAATATATGATGGATAGTGAAAGTGGAAACATTCGATTAAATCTCACTTGAATCTTAGCCCATGCAGGATCTGTTGTTATTCTATCGTGGATATAGTACCTCAATACTTCCGCTAATCTGAATAAGTGAGAGAAATGAGAATTGGTGAGCAAGAGAAGAGAAGCCAATAGGATTACTATATAATTTCTATTCATTTAAAGAAGGAAACCTGTAAGGAAGGGTCAAAACTGATTCGAATTTTACATAATAACTCAGAATTCGAAATTATACCATTTTCGAGAAAATTTATTGGATTTTTGCTTTTATGCACGCAAGACAATCGATACTTATGCTTTCCTAGTCGCACAAAACGTTGGTGGACGCAAAGAAGTGACGCTCAAAATGTCAGAAGGCAAGATCAGTTTTTATGCTTTTCTGTCGCTAAAAACTGAAAACACAGAAAACATTCAGAATGCTGGTGCATCGAAAGGCTGGCTTGACACCTATACATTCCTGGTCGCTCGAAACGCTCAAAGGCTAAAAACGCAGACAGATGCTCAAAACATTGCTGCTGACCATGAACGCATCCTCCACCCCGGTCTTTATGACAAAATGTCCAGAAAAAAACAGGGCTTAATGATTGGAACAGGAAATAAACTAAGACGCCGGAGACGAACACTCAGTATTCACTCAGTACCTGTTCAGTGGACGAATTTCATAACAGAATGTTTGGGTTACGGTGCTGAGTAATGAGAGCGGAGTTATGAAATAATGATGAAACGGATTGCAAAAAAAATATTTAAAAGAAGCAGCAGCTTTGCTGCAGGAGTTTACGTCATACCTGGCCATGAAGGGGGTTCCGGGCGTAATACAATTGCTGTCGAAATGAACTTCGTCAGCTTTTCTTGGTGGTAGAGGCACCCCCTCCTCTTCCAAACGGCGACGTTGCTGAAGAATTTCCTTGTATTCGAAGAAACAATACAACAAGATGCTATGAGCATTCCAAGCTCGATTTTTGCGCAGTTTCCCAAGAAATACTTGTGTAAAAATAAGAAAAGAGGTATCAGCGCTTCCCGTACCAAAGCTGATCAATACCTAGACTTCCTGGAAATGAATCTAAGCCTTCGTTCTTTAGGCTATGTTTCATTGAAAGAAATCAAGTCAATCGAGGCAACTGATCTCCACTCTACTGCAGTAAAATGTGCGCAGAAGGGCATCATAGCCGATAGTGCGCAAAAACGCAATTATGAACGAGTAAGAAAAATAAATCACCTCTTCAATCGCCTCGCTCTTCTCCCATGCCTCTTTAGAGGCTCGAAAGCGTCTGCTACGCTGCTGATTCATCTGGAAGCTTTCATATAAGCTTCGAGCAAACTAAATTCAGAAATAACCCTCTCACTTTTGCTCTTGGAGCGACTCCATCTATTGCCATATACAACAGTTTTCGAGGACGAACAATAGAGAATATCCGATCGATATATTCGAAGATGAGCGCCTGAACATAAAGGGCTCAGTCACAGGTGGGGTCTATACACATTCAGTTCCCCTGCTGTTTATAGAAAGAAGAACAGGCTGTGTTCGAAATTTCAATTGCTGTCTCGTTTCTTAGAATTTGAGCTAATGCCAGCAAGAGTTATGCTTTTTCCTACATGTGCGAACAAGGGGGTTCAAATTGAATCACTCACAAACATCTCGTCCTCGTTGGCAGGAGCAGGACGGTCCTCGGGATGGGTGCAAGGGTGAATGATTCCATTCATGTCAAGATATAGGTTGTCGAATTCCTGAAAAACAATACATAATGAAAGCTCAGGGAATAATTCTAGATGCTGCTTGGTGAACAATCCTTCTTCAACACCTGTATGTAGTACATTACAGCACGGCGCACCCGTACGAAGTACACTACAGCACGGCATCAAACGTTTGCGATAATTCAACATACTCTTGTTCTCATTTCAACGCGGAAAGTTTCCTCAAGAGGAAACAGAGTAGTCAGAGCACGTCCATGTTCATGCCACCGTTGTGGGAGATTTACAGACAACTTTTCCTTTCAATATGTGTCCACTGGTTACGACGCCTTCCTCCATTCGGTATAACCATCTTATTCGACCATTCGCAGTTCATCAGACAAATAATCCACCTATTTCCGCCCAAAAAACTTACTGCCCGAGCGGGGGAGGAGAAAGCTCATTGAAACAGAACACCTGCCATGAGCGAAACTCATACTGACACGCATGACGAATCTCTTTTAATGTTGCTGTACATGTAGTCATAGAACGGCGAAGCTCTTCTTTTCATTGAATCTTTATTAGGTGACAACGTTTCGGGCATAAGCCCTTCTTCAGGTCACTCGATCTTAAATCACAGCATTTGCCCTTACAATACAGCTACAGTTACAGCACTAATAGAGCGAATATAGCAACAACCCACATTGTGTAGAAGGGAGAAGGAGCAAAATAAAAGGGGTAGGAATGGGACTATTTATAAGGGTGCGGGACAGGGGTGATCTAGAATCAGTCATGGTATCAACATAAGACGTGCACAATGGTATGTCTCCATTGTGCACGTCTTATATTGATATCAATCCCATTGCCACTTTTCATCTCCTCCTTTGCTGTTGATGGGTGGTTCTTGTTGCTTTATTTCCATTGCTTCCCTGATCTTCCTTTCAACTGGATCCACCACGTTTCTGTGTAGAATGGAGATGCGAAGTTCCGGCGGTCTTTCTTGAGCGTGCCTTAGTGTGCGGTGTCTCGAGAATGGGTTCTCTGGGTAGCTCTGCGGGTTCCGCAAAGCTCTTAAATGCTCCTCCATTCTCTTGTGTAGTGGCCTTGATGTTTCTCCTATGTAAAACTCGTGACACGAAAGGCACACTACTTGTACACCACACATTTTTCTTGACACACCTTATGTTCTCCACAGATCACACAGTTAGCTCTTTCACATCGACTCTCATATGGACGCGATGATGTTAAAAGTCGTCGTAAATTGAGAGGTGGTCGAAATACCAGGCTTATAGGAAGCCGTGATCGTTTCACGACGCGATTAACATCAATTGCGAACGAGTCGCTGATGAAAGGTAACACAAGTGGAGTACCATAAGGTGATCGGTAAGGCCTCCAGCTTTGAAGCTGCCGATTCTATATCCGTTTTGCCGCAAGATGTTCTTCACTTCTCTCTCCATTTGTTCGTGATTCGTGGAGGTCAGCTCATGTGATGTCTTAACCATATGGCGGACTACGTTCACTTTCATGTAAAGAGGATGGCAACTTCTCGCGTGAATGAGGATGTTCTGGGATGCCAACTTCTTATACCATATGGTGTTGATCTGACCTTCCGAAATCTTGACTTTGGTATTCAGAAACGGGAGGAAACCATCTGGGGAAGGGCGTTCGGCTGTCAACTTTATTGACTGGCACATTCCAAATGTCCGTCGTAATGCAGTCCGTGATCTACCGACAATGAAAATGTCGTCGATATATCGTCCGAAGTAAAGAACTCCAGACGCCAAGGCTGCTCTTTCAAGGCTATCCATAAATATAATCGCAAGTAATGGTGCCAATCGGCTCCCCATAGCGAGTCCCCTCGTCTGCTTATAAAAAGAATCCTCGGTCCGAAGCTGGAGAAATGCACAGTGGATCAATTGCTGCCGAAGTATGCAAGCGTACCAACTTATTATCAGCTTGTGAAAACGCATAAGTTGGTTAGGAGTGAGAATGGCGATGTGATGGACCTCAGCTCCATCAAAACAAGGCCAATTGTAGCATCCTGTGGCGGTCCAACGGACAGAATAAGCTGGTTTCTGCAGCGCATCCTCTGTCCACTGCTTTCATATGTTCACCATCACCTCAAGAACGTGAAGCAATTCCTGGAGCAGTTACGGCAGTGCAACTTCTACGATGAACCACGATTGGAAAGTTTTGATGTTGTTGCACTCTACACAAATGTTGACATACAAAGAGCTGTAGAGGCCTGTATGCGTCTTTTACGCCTTCACCATCAACAACTCCAACTCTTTGGACTTGATGTCGACGATATCGAAGAGCTCCTTCGAAACGTGGTTAAGGTGAACATATTCCGCTTCAGAAACACCTATTATAAGCAGACGAGGGGACTCGCTATGGGGAGCCGATTGGCACCATTACTTGCGATTATATTTATGGATAGCCTTGAAAGAGCAGCCTTGGCGTCTGGAGTTCTTTACTTCGGACGATATATCGACGACATTTTCATTGTCGGAGATCACGGACTGCATTACGACGGACATTTGGAAAGCTCAATGGAATGTGCCAGTCAATAAAGTTGACAGCCGAACGCCCTTCCCCGATGGTTTCCTCCCGTTTCTGAATACCAAAGTCAAGATTTCGGAAGGTCAGATCAACACCATATGGTATAAGAAGTTGGCATCCCAGAACATCCTCATTCACGCGAAGGAGTTGCCATCCTCTTTACATGAAA